GCGTAGCCTAAGTCAAATTAAAATTCCATTCGAGGTGTGAACAATTCCCGAGTCCTTCTGGGGCAAACGCATGGAAGGGCACCGCTAACGTGATAGATTCAATTTACCTGTCTGCTACAACATTACGCAAACGAAGAAAAAATTTTGCGACACGAATTTGACTAAATAGTGGCTTGGTTTTGAAACGCACTCTATCCCCGCAGAGCTAGCAAGCTGAATTGAGGAGTAAAAGGCCAGTAATTCATTTTGCAATATCGTCACGTGTTTGTAGGCAAGTTGGTAGCGAGGACATTAGGGACAGCGGTAATGTACATTTATCCTCGCTGAATAGTGTGATGAAAATAAGCAAAAGTTAGTGCGGAAGATATAAAGTCAAGGCGGCTGCTTTATTGGTTGGCTGGGAATGCAGTCGAAGGAAAAGGACCACCAGACCAACGGGGACCAATTACATTAATGTTCCCCCTATCAGAAAAAAATAGATTTAAATCAGGTGAACCATGGCAACTTCATAATGATTTTTACCCTTCATGGTATATTTTTTGTGCTGTAAATTGATTTTATGCTAGGCGAATATTGTAGATATATCTGACAGCTATGTTCTTGGAACGTTTTCAACAACCCTTTTCAAAATTATAACAGTTATTAACAGATGTGCATAGTGTCACATTAACCGAATTAAACAAATGGAAGGATAAGAAGTAGTGGTTTGAAAGAAAATCTAGACTAGTACAAACATACCATCACCATCCACAACCATGAGTGATTTTAGGCTTATAAGATATTTTAACAGCTTATCAGTTCCGTTAATTTAGTTCGTATTTTTTACTAGTTATTCGGTTGCAAAATACTCTAACAAATGCTGGCCTCTAATGTACCCTTTCAAAAACAAGATCTCAAGCTATTAATATGCTGCTTTGATAACTTTTCAAAACCTGAAAGGTTAGGTGAAGAGCAGTTTTGTGAGTAATTTTTGCATTCAGGAGATAGCCTTCCATGTACAGGCGTGCAGTGTTCTCCCTAATACATTAACTTATAAGTGCATACTTAAACCTTAGCACATTAAGTCAGTGATTCACCCAACTTTATCTATTTACTGGTGATTTCGCAGGAGCGTTTAGTCAGTCTTAATGGAAACGCAAATTGTATATTGCCAAAACCTACTACTCATGATTGATTGAGGGTGATGCCTCATAAAAGAAACTGATTTGAATAGCTTTTCCCACTCTATGAACAATTCAGTTCCTCTACTAGTTCTCTGTTAGTATTATGAGTTTCAGGCAACCCTGGTTAAATTTAGTCTATTTAATATTATTTTGTTACTTTCAGTGATAGGAGACGATTCCCCTGGGACCCGTTTTAAATATTAAAGCGTAAATGTCAAAGACGAGAATAACGCAAATAAAACAACAATTCTTTTTCTATAAAATTTATCCGGAATAGCATATTTTTCACAGCATCAACTGTACTCAATTTGCTACTTTTGCATAAATGTGCGTGCATGAATGTGATTTCAAATATTGATGTCTTAAAGTCTTAGAGGAGTGCTAGCTTGGCAGCGCTCAACACATATAATCTTTAACGTGACCTGTCATCTCACTAAACTTACTCTAGTATTGTTGATTACTCAACATTAGCACCACCCGGTAGATTATTCGCGTGCATAACACTAGATGAAGCCTTTTCTGTCAGGAAAATAGTTGTATTTGAAAGCGCTACGGTGACTTAAACTCATTTTTCTCCCTCTTCCCCTTTGCCTTGAAGCGGAAACCTGCAACAATCTCAAGCGGTTTTTACGCTTTGGCGGTTTGGTGAATATGATAGTCAAACCATCTGAATGAATTTGGAGCAGAGCAAGAGAAGCCATCAACATAGCGCCACACAGGTCTGGCGGTTGGCCTTTCATAGACCCACAAAAAAGATGGAAGAGCGTTTCAAATGATCTTTTTTTGCAAGCATACCGTCAAATCGCTTTCAATCAAGTGTAAAATACAGTAAGTAGTAATCAAGGCCACTTTCATTTTCTTGTTTGAATTAAAACACCGAGGTTTCATTTCTGTCCAAAGAAATTTTCGATCTGAGTATACTAGAATGCACAATGAATTGTTTAGCGAATTTTCCTGTGAAAGTAGGTGCATTAGTGATTGTAGGACGTCTGAGAACTCGCCAGTGTGGCGTAAAATCGCTTTATTTGAGATACTAATTGGAATACGTACTTTCAGCCGTAAAGAGGCGATCAATTTAGGGCCCTGCAGCTCAAGAGCATGCATAAAAATTGACAACTAACAAAAGTGCTTCGTCGAAGTAATGTGGTGACAGCCATGCGATCTAAACTGGTCTGTGCATGTTTTGAGATTTTGACACACAGAGAGAAGGCGAACGGAAGAGGAAGCAAACTACTTTAGGCTTGGAGTTAGAAGCCAATTTTTGAATATTTTATCCTCTACAAGATTAAGGAACCTTCGGATTCGGTTAGACATTAATAATTAACTTAAGGCGTAGAAAAGAAAGTATTAGGAATTCAGTTTATGCTGAACTTGTCTTTACGAATCCTCTAAATCCCAACTGCTTGCATTTAAAAGTACTGTAGTATACAATATGCGCATATGTTTATTGACAGCCAAGCGCACCTCGCATAGAGACACAGGCCACCTGCAAACTAAGGTCCCAATACTACCTCCAGAGCTACTGCTAAAACCAAATCGAAGGGTGGATTTTCCATATCCAATATTTTATTATCTAAATTACATCTGTAACCTTTGTAGTGAATGCTAATGCTATTACAGCAATTGAATGACTCGAATACGCTCATAATTTATTTTATTCCTTTGTTTATATGTGCACGATCACAGGGAATAAAATTAATTTACTGGAAATAATTAGGCTGTAATCCTTGAAGCATAAATCATTTCAGTAAGGTAGTAATAAATTGGCACAAATGTTAGCAAAAATAACACCCTTTTTCACGATCACGCACGGTGCCATTGTTGTGCTTTAAGACAAAAAGCATAATTATTTAATAAAAAACGTTTGCCTTATTTAAACGAAGCGTTGTGAATGTGGTCGGGTGAGCAACACAGTATTGACGAGCTTTAAAATGCGCGCGTTACTCAACGCTGAGTACCAGGACAACATTTAAGGCTAGCAGAAAATGATGCAGAATAACAGATTTAAAAGGTTTCATAGGTTGGTAATTTTTGACAAGGTTCTAGTCTTACCAAAAAAGTTACAAGTTACTCTAATCTTTGCATCCCATCTTTTTTGTTTAGGATCTCTCAAAAAGGCGAGCAAAATATGGTCTCGAGCTGCACTAACAACTTGGATTGATTGTATTATTTGAAAGGAGGGAGTTTTTGGCGGCATTCAAAAAAATTCAACACAGATGCAACTACCTTACAAAGATCACTTCAGATCTGTTTAACAAAGTTTGACTATGAAATTTTGTGGCAATTGATTGAAATGGAAGAAACTAGCTGCACAATTATCACACATTTATGTTGCATTAAAATGTATCTAATAATTAATTCATGATTCGTGCAGGTTATAAAATAGTCGTATGAGCTTAATAGGTGCCAAATTCATGATATTCATATAACCAAAAACTAAATTCTTAAGCTAGTTGAGATAAACAAAATAAATAGTCCGAGTAGTAAGCTAATCGATCTGATTGACTTATGTGTAAGATTTCGCATGATAAACAGCACAAACTCAGTTGATGAAAAAAAAGTTCACAGGACCAAAATCCGGAATGCAATTGAACGCGTCAGGCCCATACAGTATGCGTTACTATTAGCTTTTCGTACTATCCTTCCCGCAATTAGTTATCTTTCCGGAAGTTAAAATTGCCATAGTATTTTGCCCAGTAGGTAGAGCAATTGAATAAAATGTTCGGGTTTGTAAATACTGCAAAGTGCATTAGAGAAAATAGAGCCGGCCCGAAGGAAGATCCGAAATCCTGATTACATAATGTACAGTCGCAAGGGAATATCCCAAAAAGCTTAGACAATGCTCAAATAGGAAATTTGCTTGCCAAACTAGGCAGCGAAGGGTTGAAGCTTGCAGAAAAGAATTTTTGGACTCCTTAACTTATTGCCAGTCATGAGTCTATCATGCCAATGGTGCCAGCTTCATGTCACAAAATAAAAAAACTGATATTGAAATAAACATAAGTAGTAAATGTGTGTGCATTTAATATTACCTGAGTTCTTCATTAACGTGTAATAATTAATTGACTTTAAAAATGATCGAACTACAATGCAATGAAACGCATCCAGTTATGCTGCTTTAAGTAGATTTTTGCCACTTATGTTTGAGGTGATCTGATGTCGTTTTTAACTACTAAGTGGATGTTTCACTTTCATAGGCTTGCATTTTCATTCGGTAATGCAGCGTCTGGGGTAAGCTAATAGCCTCCCGGTCCTTTTCAGCATTAATAACACATGTTTCCTCATATTTTTTTAGTTTATTGCAAAAAGAAAAACTTGGAACACCACTGGAATTAAAGTAAAAACATGTGGAAAATGCATTAACAGCGACTAAAAAAGACCTTTTGATAAAAGTACATTAAGGAGATGATCATAGTGCTATACCATTTACAACGAAGGTTTCTAAGATGATTTGAAGCGGACATTGTTGCCGCATACCCTGACAAATGCATTTGAACCATACGGCCGGTACAAGACAACAGTACCCAACATATATTTGAACCCGCACAATATTAGTTTTTTCCCATTGCTTAGATACAGAAAAAGGCATTTGCATTTGACATTAGTTTAAAATTTAAACTATACAAAGGGGTGTCCTACTTCAGGCATATTAATGTTTTAGCATAGATTAAATAACGAAAGTTGTGAGCATGCCAAAAACGCCTTATTAATTATTAGTTTTTACTAGATTCTGGGTTTGCATGAGCATATTTCAAGCGACTTAATGCTTCATTCACCCAATTACGACATGGAGTAACAAACCTATCTGTCCATCAGGAGGAGATTAGCCTAAGCACAATGAATGAAGATGAGGACAACTTTGTGACATATGGGGATCCTTTTGATGAAGACGATGCAGGTACTCGAAAACAATGTTACGTTCCACTTTAAGAAAATTCCACCTTTCTTCATCCCAAATCCAGGCCTCAAGCCTATGAGCAGCGTGTCTTGAACGAACGTGGTCGGCCCATGAGATTTCATGGGGCATTTACTGGTGGCTTTTCCGCTGGATACTTCAATACCGTCGGTTCTAAAGAAGGTAAGCGTTTACATTCTATGCATTTTATATTAAGTTCAGAGTTCGAGATTTCCGGACAGCTGTGTCAAAAGTACTATTTAGGCGTTTCTAATCATTCTGACTTTTTGAGGCTCGTGAACGTACTTGTTCCTCCTTGTATTCATAAGCTTGATATTTAGCAGCAATTTGTGCATTTTTGAAGGCTTTAGGCCTCAGTCATTTACTTCATCTCGGCGGAATCGCAGTCAAAATGCTGGTCAACAAGTCCTGTCCAAACCAGAAGATTTTATGGATGAAGAGGTTGGTTCTCTATGTCATATTTCTCAAACAGATTTGGTCTCGAAATATGTTAAATGCTACTTTTGTAATTTAGGACCTCGGTGAGTTTGGTATTGCTCCCCGTCACTACCGAACGCGTCGTGAATTCGACGATCACCACATTTTTGATACGCTCTCTGAATCTCTCGGTGGCAAATCCGTCATTCCCGATGCCAGCGATATTCTCAAACGGATGCTCATTCCCAGCGGGTTCGGATTTGCCATTACTGCGATTTCTTCGAATCTTTTTTGGGAACTTTCTATGTTCCAAGTTTTTATTTCAAAATTTGTCCTTATTGAAATGTGGATTTGTTCAAACGAATATTAGTATTAATAACCTCCCGCCTTTGCATATGATTTCAGAACAAGTTTAGCTGACAGACTTCTTCGACGTATGGGATGGAAGTCAGATGAGGTTGCAGCAGCACTGACTGAGGAAGAAGCTGATGAAAAAAGTGACGCTACTCCGAATAAAGGTACGCTTTAATGGGTTGTCCTTCATTCTTACATTCGTTTTCTATTGCTTCTCTCGATTCGTTTGGAAACTTGTTTTTGTTTAATGTTATCCGAGCCTGTTTGTGGCCCTATTTTGTGAGCAAATCGTTAGGTTCATTCGTGCCCTCCTCCGGTAGCACTAGTAAGGAGAAAGATGAAAAAAAGATGGAGAACTTTTCGAAAGTAATTCATTTTAATTTCTGATCAAAGATCCAGGCGCAAACTCTCCTGCGCATTAAATAAAGCTAAATAATTTGCGAGTTTCTCCATTGTTTAAAAATGAGTGATTTCCAGGACTAATGTATTCAATAATATTGAATACAAGTAGTGATTCGAGCATCTTGTACAAAAAAAAATTCAGCTCAAGTTACATTGATCGCGTTTGCAGGGTTACTAATAACCAAAGGCCATCGTGTTCTGTGATTTAAAAATACCAAATATCAGGTAGACTTTTAGCTCCTATTAACTATCCTAAAAATAATCATCGGAAACAAATCAAATGAGTTTCATGCATGCTAGATACTTTACATCTTGCCACAGTTGACATCCATGTGATACTTTTAGCTGAGCCTTAAAGATGTTCTAGAAGCTCATTGCGGTAATGCTTCACCGTCAGTATACGTGTTCTCATGAAGTAAAAAATTGCATGAATTCTAGTCTAGAAATCGTAATCCTGTTGCTGGATTGGTACTAGGTATTTACCTTCCCTAGGCCAATAGTCAGGTCATTTTTTTTAAAAAAGGCGATTTAGAGTTAAAATATCGGGATAAAGTCAGAACGACGCAAATTCTTGTTAATTCGCCTAGCCATCAAATGGACCATTATTTCGATAGCTACTATCTCTTGTATGACTAGATAGAAAATCCCCTTGACCTAATGTGGCACTGGGTGTTATCTCGCCTAACAGTCACCCTTTTGAGTTCGCTACAAACATTGGTGAAAAAGTCGTGAAATGACGCCCTAGGAACGGTTTTGTTTTTATAAATGGAAATTTGAAGAGAAACCTGAGAAGTTGGTGATTGGACCAAAGTCTTACTTTTTAGCTGATTTCCTCCGGTGACAGAAACTAATGTGCTGGTCGATCAAGCCTGAATTCTTTAAATAATAATACGTTAGGTGGAGTGATCTGCGAGTGTCACCACCACTTTTTATTTAGACTAAGCGTACTCTGTGCCACGTATATTTACCGGAGATTACGGTGATCAGCCTCGCATTGAATATAGGTGGCTTCGGCCTATGCTAACTACACATTATTGCTCTTCTTAAGTGGTAGTCTTTCCGTTTCTAATGCGCCCACCACTTCTGCCTGCATTACAGAACGCGACTACGCGGTTATCAGCTTCGCTCCAAAGACCAACACTTTCGGTTTGGGCTACTCCGGTCTCGATCCGGAGATTGCGTGGGGCCGACGTGCGCCCACTTCGAGTCAGGACCCTCGATCTGAATCAGTGAGTAGTCTGCAGCGACGCGAGCAAGAGAGCCACCTCGGATTCAACCCCTCTACCGGTCTCGTGCGACAGGGCATTCGCGGTACGTCTATCTTGAATCTGTTCATCTTGTATCTAAAGTGTTCACCTGGCTAGGTATCGTGCAGGGTCGTGTATTGATTGGATGACGGAAGAGATCGTTTCGATTGTTTAGTCAAGAAGGCATTGGTTTGCTGACTGTGAGAAATGCAGAAATCAACAGGAAATTCTGAATTTTATTCCGATTGCTTTAATTTTGAGAGTGAGGTCAGGAAGTCATTCTTACTGATTACCGTGCTGCTACATTATGTTGAATTTTTTGGCTGTGTCAAGAAGGTACCAGAGTTAATAGGGGGGTAAAGCACCTTGGTAATGGTAATTCCTTAAGAAAATTAATTTAACTCCAAGATTGGAATTGAAGAAATAAAATCCAAGACCTTCGTTTCAGCATTTTGGGTCTGTTGTTTATTTTTAAATGCTATAATTAAATCTGTCACAGGAGCTTTGAAGTGCTAGCAGCGGGGCTTCTGGGTACCGGCGTAAGGCTAAGTTACAGAAGACCGGAAAATGTTGCCGTTAGAACAGAGGTCGCTCTATTCTATTAGGATGATGTTGTCCACTTCCTGCTATAAATGTCGTTCATTCGGTTATGCTTATCCCTTCTTTACTGTCCTATCCACGACATTGACCCCTTGTTGGGTAGCATGCTTTTAGGACTTCCATTCAAGTGGCTGTATCTTTTAAAGGGCAAGCATTCGGTGTGGGAGCGCTGCATTCCGAAGATGCCGATATCTATGCCCAAGACAGCCTTGCCTCCTACGACTTCAGTATCGGGGCAGGAGATGAACACGAAAAAGATGATGATGAAGATTACGAAATGGCCGAGCTTGAAGCCGCTCGCCACGGTCGATTCTCGGACCTGAGGAAGCGGATTAAGAGCAAATCCACTATTGATGGGTGGACACCACCAACTCGTAAGTTTTTTGCCTTCCTCTCCATTCACATATTAGCCGAATGGATTGACTCTAACACTCCTTTTGTTTTCCAGTTCCAAAAGTCCTGCTCTCCGGAGTGGAGGAAGAGCCTCAGACCGACGTTCTCGAGGGCTTCATGAAACCAGTCGAATCTGAGGCCTGTCTGGTGCTTACAAACGCCGAGTTCTTTGTCATTCCGAAGCCAGTTATCCTTCCACCGGGTTACAACCCCGTATTCCACCTTGAATGCCTTGGAGGGGGTGCGGAATCGTCTTCGGAGGAAGTCTCGGAACCTTTAGTAAACACAACTGCGATTTCTTCTGCTCCGCTTTTAAAGCCGTTTGTCAGTGATTCTGCTAAACAGGCTCGGTTTGAGGCATACCAACTCCTTCTCAGGCGGGGACTTTCTCGTGAGTCGTCTAACTCATTGATTCCAATGTTCATTCCCACGATTTAATGCGTCGTCATTTGATACCGTCTTCCAATATTTAAACAACTCAACTTTTCTTGTGGTTGTAATCCTTGGCATCAGGTGGATATCTTATGAACCATTTTTTTCGACTATGATTAAGGATTCGAAGTTACTTATTAACATGCTCGTCTCGATTTTAATAAGTATGAACACGTAATTCCCTTGTTTAATTAAGAATAGATGGTTTTCCTGGCTGTAATTTATCTGCCTTAGAGTGACTCATCTCCGAACTCTGCCACAACTCCTCCAAATGCTATGGAATAAGTTTGACGATAAGCTAGTTTGCGCAGCTTTACAACCAAGTTAAAGTCAGCTTATAAAGCAGACAAGCTGTAATTGCTTCAATTTTAACCGCAAGCATTTTAAGAGTTCCTAATGGCGGTTTCAATAGCTGTTTCATTGAGCCATACTTGGTTTCAACACTAGCCTCCTTCAGGAAATAAAATCCTCGTATATTAACTTCTTACACATATAATCATTTACACCTGTTCCAATTGTAGACGAGGAAGCGTATCAGCAATGCTCAAGCGGGGCCTCCGAGCTGACCATGGAGACTCGAGGCTTCGAGGCCAATGTGTTTGCTACGCTACTGAGAAATCTTGCTCCTGCCCCTTCTACTCATGCCGCTGCTCCAACGGAGGCGCCAGTTACTGATGCGCCTAAAACACAGGAACAGCAAAGGGACAAACGACCTCTAACAGCGGGCATCTTGGACGCGGAGAAACAGAGACTTGTAGCTAATCTGCTCAAATCTCGCTTCCGTTCTGCTGGCGAAATGGATATCGGTAAGGAGCTGACTGAAGCGCAAGAGGAGGAACGAAGAAGGGACATCGGGGTGAGATTCGTTGCACTCCTATTTATTCAGATGATAGCTACTCTTGGCATCTCCTGTAATGGTGATTATTCCAATCTCCCCTTTACAACACCACTGAAAGTGCTTTTAAGTAGACGTTTGTTCTTTTTCTCAACGAGATGAGTGGGCGGTGATGTCCTCTTTACCACTACTTGTATCGACATCTTTACTTTCCAGGCGCTTGACATGACTGATCCTAGAGACAGTGCTGCTGCTAACGAGTCCTACGGTGTTCTTACTCGTCGTACACTAACTTGGCATCCGGCGGCACTTCTCTGCAAGCGAGTCAACGTCGCTAACCCCTATCCAGAGTGAGTTTCCTTTTTTCATCTTTGATGGCGACAGCTAGTTATTCTACTACTCACCTGTTAGTGCAATTTATTAGATGTTCATCAGTAAGGTTGAGAATTAAGCATTGTGTATGCTAAAATAATTTGGAATTAGAAGTTTGTTTCCTTAAATAACAAAAGACTTAAAATTGGTCAAGGTCAATGACGACAAATCTCCCAATCCTCTGGGAGCTGTGGAGCATCAGTCGTCCGATGGGAGGTAACAAAATATTAAAAGAAGTTCTCACAAACTTGCGTCTCTCGGTATCTACCTTGGCCTTAAAATAATGGGCTTGAAAAATGGTCATTAGGCTTTGCGCTTGGCTGACTCTCTTGGCTTTTTTTGACCTCGGTTCCCAGGCTTGCTGGCGTCCGGTGTGAAGTTGACCAGGCGGAACTGGGAGTACCCATCCTTGCGGTCCTTGGCAGTACTGGCGTTGATTGACAAACACCATAGTGGCACCACTGAAATAGGTTTCTTTTTAGTCTTGGCGTATCATTGTCAACTATGTTAATACACTCCACGGACCTTGGGACTACTTCGATCCCTAGATGTGACCGAAGTAGTATCTTGTTGTAGATTGGCCAAAATTTCGTACTCGTCAGTGTGACGTTCTGATCCCATTCCAGACAAATAAGTAGATGTATTCGAATATCTGCAAATTCAGATTACTGGAGACTGTAGATAGAATTAGTAACCTTAGTTAATCGTTGGTCATAGACTTCGAATTGAAGCCTTTCCATTCGTAGTTCACATTTCTAATGTCTGTAAAGAATTCGTAGGCTTGATAAATTTCTGCAGATAGACCCGTAATCGGTAGCCGGTTATCTAACCTGACTCATTTTAACCAGCTGCGAAAATAAGCGAAGAAAATTAGGCTGTGATTGCAGTTCGGTTGCAACTTCTCTGCGTCTTTGTCCCCAGTTCCACATTCGTGGGATGCCCAGAAGATCGTCGATTCCGACGTCCTCCTAAACGAAGCAGACGACGTCGCGATGACATCACTTCCAGCGAGTTCACTCTTTTCCAACTTCTTGACATGAACGTGGGTGGTGAAGACGATGGTGACATGGAAGATGACGAGGAAGAGGAATTGGAGGAGGGTGAGGAAATGGAACAGGGAAAAGAGGAAACTTCTTCCATGTCTGCTTCTCTTGTCGCCTCAACGAAGCCTCCTAGTGTCCCTCCACCCTCCATTTTCGATGCTCTTTTTGCTGAATCTGAGAAAGCTCAACAAAGAGTGGCAAATGCTGAGGAAAGTGTACCCGCTCCTCCTTCCAATGTAAGTGCCTTGCGTTCAATGCAACTTTTATGGATTTGTGTAGATATTTTTGACCAAAGTTTCATCATGCGCTCCTTTTCTCTGTCTTTCTAAAAGTTCTTTGGTCTGGCAAATATATATTCGCCAGGAGCTTTTGTGTTAGACTTTGTGAAGTAGGGACCATGTTACCATGTCTAGACCGAGGAACAACGAGCTTAGTAAAAAAGTGATTTGTGCAGGGCTCCCCACTACTGCTATGAATCTCGTTTCGTGAGTCACCCACAAAGTTTGCTTAGTACCATACACAATTGCAACAGCATTGGTGTTACCACGTAATCCGACTTTGATTTGAACATTGCTTTCAGTGGTTTCAGTGGACACTTCCGCTTTAGTCGTATCGATGATAGCCGGTGAGAACGTAGTCCACCACGATAACTGGTCATGAGATGCCAATTATCTTCCTATATCTCTTTATCGTTCCAGGCGATCTCACGAGTAATCGGTCCAGCGGCACCTCCCGCTCCTGTCAACGCCTCAACAACGAATGACTCTGGCGGCCCTTCGATGGATCTCTTTAAATCTATCTTTGCCTCCGATGAGGAGCTAGATGATGAAGATGATGTGGAGGAGGTTGAAAAGGAGGCCATGCCACCACCACCTTCATCGCTCGAGGTTCGACCTTTGACGATGTCCCCATCCCGTGACAAGGCTGACGCCAACGGTGACAACAACACTAGCAAAGATGGTACTGTCGAGCAAGTCCCAACTTCTCCGCCTCGTCCCGAGCCAGCTGTTCATGACTTGTCCGTGCACAAACTATTCAAGCATCTGTTCAATCCAGAACTGGATAGTGGTATGTGATAGCTATTTCGCTTATCCATCTTGCGGTTTTGAGTCTTGATTACAGTCCACAACCTATTCCCATAGATGTAACACACCTAGGCTATTGGAAGGCTTGAAGTATAGCACATGTCTTCACAGCAGTAATTGAATGAGGCTGAATGGAACCACGAGGCAGAAAATTTAACAGAAATTTTTCGTCTCGATAAGAAGACTTCCTGATCAAGTAGTAGTGATGCACACGTTTGCCCCATCCAACATATTTTAACACTCAGATGTGATTTGTTAGTGAATGTGCTGAAAGCTTGTTTAAAATTGACTCATATTATCAGATATCTTTGAACAGCTATGATAGGAGCGGCCTTTGATGTGCTAGCGCTGATTGTTTATCCAAGCGTGATGAAAAAGAAACGGGTATGATTAATCCACCAATTTTTATCCGAAGACGATATAAGTCATTAAGACCAAGTTGCTTTGAAGATAAGTTTAGTCGAAGACTCCAAACATGGACTATACTTTGTCTTTTCATTAACCTCTAAAGGGAATTTCTTGTTTTCTCTCCCTCTTTGTTTCAAGGGCCATCCTCAGTGATCTCAGCAAATGTCCATTCCTTTTTCTCACTGCATCAGTGATCAGGAGAATTGAAACTAACCGTAATATAAGGGAGATCTCTTATTTCGAATATTTTGGTACATTTTACATTTTGCGTAGTAGTCAGCCAATTCAATTAGATGTAATCCTTTTTTGAAAAGTTTCAAGGAATTTCGTGTCATCTACGTGCAAGCCGAACCCCGAGAGACCGAAAGAGCTCAGCCATTATTTGATTATTAAAGATCGGTGCAACGGGATGCAATGTTTTGTTGCTGTAATGCGCAGGAACTTTGGAAATGGATGGAATTTTTGGCACGCATGTATTAGAAAGTAACAAGAGATGTGGGACAGTTTGCCGGTACGGTAGACTACTGTGTTCACTTCCATTTTCCTACCACTTTGAATCCTAATGCGTGAAATGTCAGTTAGACCTGGTGGATGCGATTCAAGCCTGTTTCTTCTGCAGAAAAAGTGCCATGCAGTTACAAATCTGCACACGATGGCTTCTCATTTGTTAATCCTATTGCGTAGCGCTCGAAAAAGGTTTGGTAACAAAAGCCATTGCCCAGAAGTGGTCTAAAACCAAACTCTGGTGCCCAACCACTCAACGGTAGATGTATCACTTCAAGGAAGACTTCCCATTCTTCATCGTAAAGAGTCCTGTATCGTCAATGAATGGTCTTACCGAAGTTTAGGGTGCCACAAACAACTACCAGGCATGTTTCAAACATGAGTAATTGATGAAGCAATTGGGTTGCACCAACATCAACTGAAAAGGGGAAGTCGTGTTGGATGTTGGGCAAACAAGCACCCCATTACCATGCGTTAAGAGATGGCAGGCAGTAAGCCTCCAAGACTGTCGATTTCACTCCACTGTGCTTCACTCTTTTCACGTAGCCCAAGAGAAGGCGCCGTTGCTAGTCTGTTTGCTGACCGACTTGTGATGAGAGACGGCTTTTGTATTTTGATCATCATAGCTCCAGCAAAGGCATAGCATTAGTCGTGGCCAAGCGATTCGTTTCTTACCCACCCTACAATTCAAAGGCGTGTGTTATGCCATTCCTACACGGATGTGTCCTTTGAGTGGTGGATTGCAGATGTGTTTGTTCGCCTTCTGAAGGCCCAGCATTGGAGATCTACCTACTCGGCAGGATGTAACTTGAACGTGCGCAAAGGAGGCTTCTTCATTGCCTTCCATAGGCCAAAAGTTTTGCCAAAGTGGAAATCGTAGCTATCTTGTGCCTTTTGGAAAGAATGACGGATTGTTAGGTTTATTTAAACGCCTAAATTTCATGTTCAAAGAAGTCTTCTGTAGTTTATCACAAGAAATTACACAAGCTTGTTTGATTTAACCTATATTGTCATCCCGTTGCTTAATTGACGTCTTTTGGGATTTTTCCGAGTTTATTTTGGTCAATTCTTTTCTTATTCGGTAATTACGGCTGCATGCGAGTTTGTCTTGTGCCATGGGCTAGGATTATGAGATACACTCGATCCACAACAGGAAAGGTTTCGAAACTAACGATTTTGATGAGGTTCATGTCTCACCTCCCCTTTTAACGAGTTACATTATACTCTTACTTGGGATGTAATGTGTAAAGCCAAACAACTTCCCTAAAGAGCGTATTTCGCGTGTCCATTTTTCGTTGAAGCACTTTTTCATATCTTTGTGGCATGCAAAGGATCTACTCATCATTCATTGCTATTTTTGCGATTTTGCCTATTTTAGTGTAGATCTCCCTCCCTCACTAGGCATATTGCCGAACCTAACTTTGAGGCAGTTGCCAGGCTCTTGACGGAGTTGTATTGACCCGCCTATTGCGTACCCCTGTAGATTTAACCAATCGCAGTAGATGAGGATTTTTTTCACGTAAAAATTAGCCACTCTGATTTTTATGTAAGCCTACTCCGAACAGTTGGTGTTTTGCCTGACCTAGTCTTTATTTCTTATAAGTGTACAGAAGAGTTGAAAGGTCAGAAGTAAATTTTAATGCTGCTGAGCTGAAGCCCGAACTGCCGTGGATGAAAAGTTTGCGCATTAGTAAATGTCGATGTTTTGGTTCTTTCAGAAGCCCCGCTATTCGCCGTGTCGAGGGTTACTCACCAAAGGAGGGAAGAGAAGTCTATGGAGGATGCAAAAAAGGCATCATCATCGGTAGGGGCAAAGCCAACTGCAGAAGAAGACTTCTACGGACCCTCCCTTCCTCCCGATTTCGGTGAGTTGGGTAAATTTAGTATTGCTGTTCATAATTTGCCGAATGCGCAGTATCATCCTTGCGTCATTGGTTGTTGTTTACTAGTAGCCTACTTTCATCTGCAAGTAAGCGGCCGGCTTTTTTGTAACCCACTTTCTCATTATGTTGATGCGCCCTTGTGGGGTTAGGCTACTCTCGTCGTGCCGACCTAGCTGTTAACTAGTGATTCTTGCCGAAAACTTAACACTTCCTTCTTTTTCTTGTACATTGGTATTGGTCTAATGGCTGTAGTCAACAAAATTTCCTATGGCTTCCAAACCATCACAGATTTCTCAATCGCGCATCTCCAAAAAGTAGAGGTGTGCTTTCTCATACACAACACTTTCCGAGTATCATTGACGCGCAAATACAACTTCTTCGTACTTGTTTGCTAACTTAGCTAAGCAATGTATTTGATCATAATCTGTAGAGGTAACAAAATAAGTTTGCGTGGTATTTCCTAATTGGAAGGCCAGATGAGAAATAGGGAATTTGTGTGATGAATTACCACTTCAGTTTATCATTCTTTCCCAAGAAGGCAGAGGTTAATCGTAATTGCTACTCTTTCACAAGACTTTCTGTATATAGAAAGCAAGAAACAGTCTAGCCCTTCTCATTTACCACATTTTTACTTAGCTGCATTATGTCTGGTTTTTGTGTAGTTGTGTGATTATTTACTGCCAATACAAATACAAGGTGGCATGTGCCACTTGGAGGTTGGGCGAGTGGAGGATATTATCAAGACAATACAGAAGAGGTTTTATTTCCTTTCACTCCATCATAAAATGTAAATCTTCCGTTGACTATCTTTTGCGGTGGTGTGAGGTAGGGGTTTTCCGTTGTGTCATAAGAAGAATTAGGCTTTCTTCTCTCTGATTGGTTAGACCTAGTTCTCCACACATGCACATACATCCACCCATCCAGAACAAGTGTAATCGTACTGGAGTGGGGTAGCACACGCCTTAGAAAAGGACTACTTGGCCATGATCAGTGATACACTTTTGTTTAAATTACGTTGGAACAAAGTACAAGAGCCGTCTCTCGTCACAAGTCAGTCAGCAAACAGACTAGCAACGGCGCCTTCTCGTGGGCTACGTGAAAAGAATGAAGCACAGTGGAGTGAAATTGACAGTCGTGAAGGCTTACTGCCTGTTATCCCTTAACGCATGGTAATGGGGTGCTTGTTTGCCCAACATCCAACACGACTTCCCCTTTTCAGTTGATGTTGGTGCAACCCAATTGCTTCATCAATCACTCATGTTTGAAACATGCCTGGTAGTTGTTTGTGGCACCCTAAACTTCGGTAAGACCATTCATTGACGATACAGGACTCTTTACGATGAAGAATGGGAAGTCTTCCTTGAAGTGATACATCTACCGTTGAGTGGTTGGGCACCAGCGTTGGATTTCAGACCGCTTCTGGGTAATAGCTTTTGCTACCACACCTTTTTCGAGTGCTATGCAATAGGGTTAACAAACGAGAAGCCACCGTATGCAGATTTGTAACTACATAGCACTTTTTCTGCAGAAGAAACAGGCTTGAATCGCATCCATCAGGTTTGGTTAACATTTTATGAAACTCGTTACAATTCTCTACAATTTACAGCCTAGTGCCATTGAGTCGTTGCCAATGCTCGACATGTTTTTCGAGGTCCTCATTCGCATTTCCCAAATTTGCTCTCTAGGACCTGTTGCACAATCCAATATTTCCCTTTCCATTCCCAATGACTCCCCCGATTTGTCCTCCGACTCAGTAGACTTCGTCGAATGGAAGGTAAGTTCATCCACCTAGCTTAAGAAACGTCACATTCTGGATGGATGAACTTTTACTGTCAAGTTTAGTGCGCTCAATCGAAAATCAACCATTGTATGACATTTTAATGCATTCTTTTGAGGTACGCGCGTTATAAGTTTGTCATCTTAGCAATTGTACTTCTCATTTGCTGATTAGAAGGCGGTAAAATCCAAGTTCACCGTTTCGACAGGTTTAAGCAGTAGTTGAGTTATCTGGCTAATCTCCATTATTTGAATGACAAAGACATGTGACGTGTGGTCAAGCTGCCCCATCGTAAGGTGGACTGTACTTTTTTGCTTCCTTCAACTTATTTCACGTCTGTGGTTCCCAAAAAGGAGGTATCCTAGTTTTCACACAACTGCATCCTCATTGAAGAAGTCCATCCTTCCACGCTCAAGCTTGTGCTTTAAACCTTGACTTTATTAACCTCTTTACTTTTCATGTTATTGACAACGGTTCTATGGAAGAGAAAAGCTGACTTGAAGGCTTGCTTGATTGGGAACTAGATGGTCATCTTTTAGATGAATTTCTGCTTAAGTAGACACTCAGATTATTCCAAAGATTTGTGTAATTTTAATTCATCTTTCGGATGACATGGATATCAACAGGTTTTCTTGACTACCATTTAGATCTACATGCTAGATGATTCTCTAGTTGTTGCTTTTTTCTTCCTTTCAGAAGCGTCACAAAGAGGGTCCTGAGAAGGCGGAGCATCGTTTGCGTAAACACAGTCACAAGCACCACCACCACCATCACCACCGCCACAAAGACAAACATCACAGACACGATACGGGTTGAAGCGCCAAGACTGTGACATCTTTGTGTACATACTTCAGTATTTATTTTTATATACGGTTATAAAGTCATTGACCAGGTGAATCCCTTTCTAGTGGGAAAAAAGAAGGGTAGGGTAAGTGAGGATTCGTTGAGGTATGCCTCGTCGCAAGAGTAGGTCTGTTCATCTTCACATTGAAGCAAACCCTCTGCTTTCAAATGATGAATGCATTGCTGAAAAACAAAGGTAGAAATCTGGCGAGCTGGAGAAAGTAAAATGTCTGTTGCCGTTGTTGGTGTTGTTGTTGCATCTTCTTATTGTGCTTCCTGCTGTGTTCCCGTTCCTTTTGAATTTTATCTATTGAATCTTGAGTGATTTCAGCTTGCCTTCACCTCAGCCTCATCTTCATCCCGATCCTGCTTTGCTCGTATGCATAATGGGGTAGAGGACAATGGGGAAACGGAACCGACAGATAATGCGAGAAACTGGTTTTGGTAGCTACCTGTTTTTTTTCCCCATTTCAAGAAACCCAAAGGCTTGTTTGACTCCCTCATTGTAAATGCGACAAGGCAATTCTTCCCCAGCACTTTACGCAAATTCCATGTTTTGGTGTGAAAATGTGGATTTTTGTCAACTGTCCCCTCACCGTTGGTGACATTCCGTCTCCGATGTATTGAACCTACTCGGCCCTAGCCTCCTGCCTCGGCCTTGATGCTAGAAAAGCCTCAAAACCGAGTCCAATTAGTAATAGGTCAGGTCTCTGGAAGGCACTGCTGATAATTTGTGACCATATCGACACTTTGTGGTTCGCCTTCCATATCGGCATCGCATTGGACACCACGATTGTCAACTTTCTGCCCAATTGGTATCTTCTTGAACCCGATTTCTGCAAGGAATACAACGGCCTCTATTCATTTGTCAATCTTATACAGTTTAATCAACCAGGAATAGCTCAATGTCCTCACTCCCTGGATCATGGAATCCGTTGGACTTATTTGGACTTTGTTGTTGGGCTTTCGGTTATACCTTTCCATTACTTACTTTGCTTATTTAGAGAGGGCTCCTTGATTTGCCTAATTACACTATTGAAGAGAATCTCTTCATCTCCTACATATGTTATATAAGAGCGCTCTTGTGAGGACATTAACAAGAGCCCAAGTTAGTGGCAAAGTTGTCAACTGCACTTGTTATTACCCGTTGGATCGATATTTGGTATCAAAAATGACTGTCTGTGAGACTTCAAGACTCCTCTACAGGCCAATGATAACCCGCTGAAGGAGTGAGGGACAACCAGTCCGGCCTCCTGGTCGCGCCGTCACAACGGAAGTTCAAACTCTAGAGGCTGAAGGGCCTGAGTAGTTGAAACAGATCGGATCTAATCTTTCCCTAGATGGATAGTATGATAAAGCGTGTGTGTGCATGCCAATATACTGTAGTACTTTGATTGCTTAATCCTGCGTTTCGGTTACGCGGGCACTCAAGTCGCCACTGGTGGTACCTCCACTAGGCAACATGGACTTCGAGTCAGGCCGATGGTCTCAGCTCTTCGGTCCTGGTATGATGCCTTCCTATGGCTTCAAAAAAGACTTGAGTCGCTACAGAACGTTATGTTACATCGTCTGTATAGCTGGTGTGTTATCACGAGTCTGTTCTTGTGTTTTTACACAACTTCATCCATAAGAAATCAAAGATTAGTTAAATCATAGATGCTGTTACTCTTTTTCACAAGAACAAAACAGTGAGTCAGATGAAATGCATCTCCATCGAGTCACCACTTTGGATAGTAAATTCTGGAAAGAATAAAATACGTTTTAGCTGCCTTCTGTTCTTTTGTGTAGGTAAAGCCTGAGTTTTTAGTTTGAGTCAGCATTTCTAACTGACTTGATCGGTCTATGGGTCTCCGTAGATCGTCGGTGGGTCCTCCTGTACGCCAACAATAAACCTTTCTTCCATATTAGTGTGTCTTATTACGGCTGTGGCGAAAACCCGAAACACCACATCGGTGAGTTGTAAGCGAATCTTATTAACAGGAAGAACAACCTCGATCTCGTTGACTAGTTGGGTCTTCTGTTGACGCTTTCAGCAAATGCTCAACTTCAAAGTTTGTGATAACCGCTGAAGGAGTGAAATAAGGTTCCGGCGAATCACAGCCAATGCCAGAGGAAGGCTCGCTACAGTCCCCGCACAATAAGGGGTTGACAGTCCCCATCCTGGTGTCGCTATTAGACACTCAGCACTCTCTTTGAACGCAGGATGGCTTTTCAATGCTCTTGCTCCTATAGGTACTGTGATGTCCAGAAGTCCCATCAGATCCACATCGAATACTACAGCCACTAGTTGACATTCTTGCTCTGATGCGGATCCATCCTATTATCCTTGATCCCTTCTTTGGATCAACTGCACTTCATGCAGGGACTCATTATGGTCTAGACAGAATGGTGGCAACGAATAGTGCCGAGGAAGTCGAGGAACTGTATGGTGACTTCGTAACTGTATCTCTAACCAAGCAGACGCCTCAGTTTCAATGGGATCATGCTTCTGTTTGGCGGCATGGTCTGGGGACTGTGTCTATGGCTAACTGGATCTTCCGTGAGCATGCCTTACTGGGCTTAAAAAGAGACTCGGAGACACGACAAAGTCGGCAGTATGAATCTAGAGGTTGCGAAATTTACCTTCAGAGGCTAACGAGAGTCCTTTCCTTACTTTGAAGACTTTCTTTGACCTTCCTTCTCTTCTATAACAGAAAGAAAATGTATTAAGTAATATTTTCCACTAATCTTTATTCGACAACCCCTGTACTTTAGAATTTTTAATTTGTTGCATTGGAAAATTCTTTGAATTGTAAACAGCTCTCAAAAGATCTCTACGTTTGGTGATTATAAATTCTATATTTGACGCTTTCGGTACTTCAATTCGGTCATCAATTACCGTGAATGTCTACCTTCACCATGTCAAACCCATAGGGCAACCAACTGAGTCCGCGTGCGTTCTTTGCTGGAACAAGTGCCAGCAATCTCCACTTTCCCCTTGGATGAATTGTTGAAGGTAAGTAATTGTTGGGGACTTGAAGAAAAACTACCGAAGAAATCTTAAAAGTGAGGATGTGGCAGTATTGTACCATCAAGTGAAGGACAAATCTTCTCACGGTTGAGTAGCATGTCTTGCAAAAGTACGAATGTGTCCTTCTTTCCACGAACTAACCGGGGTAAGTTTGGCTTGAACACCTTTTGTTGTATTCCATCAAGAAGAAGCAGCTCAGCCGTTGGTTGTTAACGTCCGCAATCCATCAAGCAAACACATTTTTGTGGGAATGAAGTGGTCCAAACCTTAGAATCGTGGGATGTAAAGTGACTGGTTCGTTTGAAGTTCGTTTGATTGCCTTGAATCCCATCCATCATATTTAACTGACGG